GGTCCTAAAGCCCATCATGTTCACCCAGATTCATTTGAATGCAGCACAACATGTCAGTCTACCGGAACGTACCGTGTGGCCAAATTAACGTTTCACGGCAAAACAACAACGGTAAGAGAAATTTTACAACTATGGCTCGGCGAAACGATTTCTGTTGTTGTTCTTTGGCCTCTATCTCTCTGATGCTTTGGTGTACAGTGCTCTGGCACATATGTGTGGAAAGAGCAGTGTCTCTGCTTTCATTTGACATGAATGGTGTGTGTTTTGCATAACGTGGCGTCACGGTAGAGCCCATAATATGAAGAGCGGGTATGGAGTTTGATTTGTTGTTATCTATTTAGTCGTTGTTTGAGCTGTGTTTGGGGCATGTAAAAAGGGTTTATACAGCCTTGTAGCCCAGGTTCTGCTGTTTAATTTGATGTGCAGCATATTCTTTGTGATTAGTGCATTGTTTCACACTGTTTGCAAAGTCGTTCTCAAAGTCCCCCAGTTGGGGTTTAAAGGGATAGTGCACCCAAAAATGAAAATTCAGCCATTATCTACTCACCTATATGCCGACGGAGGCCCTGGTGAAGTTTTAGAGTCCTCACATCCCTTGTGGAGATCGACGGGGGGAACGGGCAGCACACCTAATGGCAGACGGCGCCCCAGACTAACGTCCAAGAACACAAAATTGAATCCACAAAGTATCTCCATACTGTTGATCCGTAGTGATCCAAGTGTGCTGCAGCCGCGACATAAAAAGTTGTTTCGAAAAACGTCATATGAACTCTGTTTTTAGCCTCACTGTAGCCTGTAGCTCTGACTGCTTCTCTGTGCTCCGCGTTCATGTGTGCGCGCTCAGGGTGATCGGTGATGCACGGTCTCTGAAGAGCAGCAGTCTCGTCAGTACTGATGTCCAGATTCTCAAGTGCAGGCATCGCCAATTCCCAGTCTCAGCAGCAAAGACTTTCCTCACCCGTTGGCATTGCTTTGCATTTGAAACAACTACACCACCAGGTTTCCAGTGCTCAACTCCGGTATTCTGCGGCTGGCTGAGGGTTAGGCTCATGAACTGCGGCAGCTGCTTCGTCCAGCAGCCTGAGTTCCGTCCGTATACTCGGGCTCAAAAAATACGGCTCAACAAAGAAATGCTGTTCCTCCTCAATATCAAAGTTTTCAGACATGTTGGGCTGTCCTTTGCTAAAAGACCGTAGTGCAAATTATCTTTTAGCGACTGTGGTTACCGTTGTCTCCCCCTGCGGTGCACGTGTCACGTGATGTAAACACGGGTGAGCAAAGCTCATGCTTTCGTTGGTCTTGCGCAGGCGTGCACACGTGAATGCGGAGCACAGAGAAGCAGTCAGAGCTACAGGCTACAGTGAGGCTAAAAACAGAGTTCAAATGACGTTTTTCGAAACAACTTTTTATGTCACGGCTGCAGCACACTTGGATCACTATGGATGAGCAGTATGGAGATACTTTGTGAATTCAATTTTGTGTTCTTGGACGTTAGTCTGAGACGCCGTCTGCCATTGGGTGTGCTAGCTGCTCCGCCCGCCGATCTCCGCAAGGGATGTGAGGACTCTAAAACTTCACCAGGGCCTCCCTCGGCATATGGGTGAGTAGATAATGGCTGAATTTTAATTTTTGGGTGCACTATCCCTTTAACCTGGCTTTTAAAAAAACAAAAATATGATCACTCCTAACTAGTTTATGATGTATTTTACCATTGTTCATCAACTTGCTGCTAACCTGCTAAATGTCTCTGTCCATTGTCAGGCCCCCAGCTTTGCATGGCTTGGTATGTACTAACACCCAATAGTCTGATTAATACCTAGTTTGTATTTTATTTTGCTCAAGTTCTGATGCTCTGCATGGCTGACTATATTGCTTGATTACCATTGGACTGTATGTTGCTGCTCTGTGCTTTTTGCATGTCCATCATTATGCTGTTCAAGTTCTGCTGCTCTGCCTGTCTATCGCTGCTTTGCATGGATGACTATATGGCTTGATTGCTATTAGACTGCATGCTGCTGTTTTATGCTGTTTGCATTGCTATTATGTATTATTATGTTGTCCTGTTCTGTATATATTGTAAATACTGTATCTTACTCTTAATGCTTCTGTTTTAGATTATGGTTTCATAACATCTTGCCTGAGGACTACAGTTGCAAATTAGCCGGCTGGCTAAAACATTTACAGTAATGTTGATTAATGTGTACTGTCCTTTTTATAAATAAAATAAACTGAAACTGAAACTGAACAGGTTTTAACCAAAATTTGTTTTGCAACCCAATAATAGAAGACGAGTGTTCATTCTTTGTCAAAGTATGTTAAAATCACATGGAATTATTCAAAATTTTCTGGAGGAATAAATCTGCTACTGCAAAGTATAATTGATCCCCAAATAGCAGAAAACAGAAAAGGATTGTAGAAGTTGCAATGACAATTCATTTAGTCAAATCTATAGAGTAAAATCAAAACCACTGGGTTGTCCTGGTCGCAGAACACTCTTCTGGGGGTGTGTTAGTTTATTCATTTATCACCATAAACTTTTTGTGATTTTGTTGCAGTAAAGATCAGAGTCAGAGGTACCTTTTTTTTTTTTTTTTTACCTTGCTTTTGTTGCTAAGCTCTTTTGTGCAAAGGTCTAGGGATCCCTTAGGTATATAAGACCGAGACAAGGAGAAAGCCATAAATACTTAAGTAAACATTTTAATGGTGTTTTATGCAACAGATTTTATTTTGAGGAAACCTTAACTTGGACTTTAAGGAAAATCTTAACTTCAGGTATTTTGTAGATCTCCCCTGCTCTTCAAATGGCGTATTATTGAAACATTATTACACATATTATTCAAAGATGCTCCTACTATTGTGGTTTCACAATGCGCCTACACTACAAAATATTAATTACATTTTCTAAAATGTAAACATAGCAGCTGCAGTCCAACTCCACATCAAAAGAGTACAAATGTAAATCACTGAGGCAAACTGTAAGGTGTTGTAGTAGTATGGTCAGTGATAATAAGTTGGACCTGCCCCGTTTGGTCATGTATCATGATGTACTGCACCATACAGGCTTGAGTTGAAATATGCAGCTAACGGACAGAGCCATCATCTGTTAGGAGACTAATAACAAGGAAAACAAACACACATTTAGATAAAGCCATCAGTCAACATCCCATAATGTGAGTGTTTTTATTTTTATTTTGTGGAAGCATTTTTCAATCCAAGTTGAAACAGCAAGATACGATACGATGGCTTATAGTGGGACTTGCCATGCCCGCCCCATCTACTTCAACAGAAGTGGCACCAAAGACCGGCACCAATGCAAAATTTGAACGCTGTCACAGATGTAATGACCCATCTTTTTTTTATAGGTTCTTTGGCATCCATTTTTGATAGAGAATGTCACTGTTAAACAGTAATTAACACTGATTGGAGGGAGGCTTTAATGGAATGTATTCATTAGCTTTGTTGGATCATTGTGTTCAGTTTGTTGTGTTGAAATCTAACATCTTTCCAACCCCACTGACAAAAAACAGAAGCTAAATCACAACTGAAACTCTGGGGAAATTTGTGACTGTACTTCAGTTAAGGAAATGTAAAATTCTAGACTAATATGTGCAGTTCAAGTGTAATGAATGAAACTTCACACTCACACTTTCTCACGCCAGGTCTCAGTCTCTGCAGTCCACCAGGGTCCACCCTGCAGGACGAAACACAGTCACAACCACCTTCAAATGCCTACACTCAGATCCACCATTTAACATGAACCAGAGCTCTTTATTGAGTCAGAATGGCAGAGAAACAGTGTGAGTATTGTAATTGTCTGGCCATTTGTCCATACCTGAGAGTGTCCAGTCTCCAATGGGGATCATCCAGTCCAGCAGACAGCAGCCTGACTCCTGCATCTCCTGGATGATTGTAGCTCAGGTCCAGTTCTTTCAGGTGGGAGGGATTGGAGCTCAGAGCTGAGGCCAGAGAAACACAGCCTTCCTCTGTGATCATACAGCCTGACAGACTAAACACACGTGAGAGTGGGACATTCCTTTAAGCAAAGTTTTTTTCCACTTGATCACAACATTTGCATGTTTTAAATTATTATTCTGTATAGGTTTTATCAGTATTCATACATGATATTATATACATATGTTACTGATTTATATGTGTTGCATGCATATTTTTTATGGATTTGTTGTCCTATACTGCATGTTGGACTGAAGATTAAGATGATTAGAAACTGCTGT